GTGTGTGTGTGTGTGTGTGTGTGTGTGTGTGTGTGTGTGTGTGTGTGGAGAGTGACCTGAATTTGTTCGGTTGGAGAATGAATAAAAATCTTTCAAGAGCAAATGTCTGTTTTGTATTTGGAGGGGACAAAGTGTGAGAAATGTGTAGAAGTAAGTCATTGGGCATACTCGTGAATATGACTCATTGTTTCTACTAATGTTAATCTCAACATAAATATTGTTAGTTTCTTCTGGGCGCAACATTTCTTTTCAGACTACACTTTCTATCGTACGTCCACCTGTTGTTCTAGCTGCTCTCCAGCAGAGAGCGTACTGCTGTAGCACAGGAAGGCAGGGTGGAAATATATCTCGGCTTAGAAAGCAGACTTGTAGGAATCACAGCGAGAAAAGGAAAACTATGATATTAAGCCACTTTCAACGTTTCAAACTGAAAATGATCAGATCAGAAATAATAAATGCGAGCTGATTACACATTTCACACTAGTATATTAAACGGAACATGTACAACATTTGAGTTTTAATTTGAATTAAAATTATTTGTTAAAGAGCTTGCTTGATTTCTACGACGTAGTAGTAGTTAAGGCCCTCTTTATTTGCCATCCATATAAATATCAAAGGGCAAATATAACAATTATATCAATTACACTATGCTTTGCATACATTCTATTGAGTTCCCGTCACACAAATCAACTTTTGTGGTAGAATAGTTTTGCCTTAAAGCAATCAGCTGAATGTCGAGATCTGACCCCAAAACAGATAAAACAAAATGTAGTTTGTTTATTATTATTATTATATTAATTAACTTTTTACAGGAAATTACCACTGAGATTTAGACAAATCCTTTACAAAGGAGTCCCGGCCAATGTGACTAAGTGCAGCAACCACATGTAGTGAGCCCCATGCTGTCCAGAACTGCACAATGACATTATGACTCTGCTCACTTAAAGAAATATTGGGGCCCACATTATGACTTTGTGATATGGTCTCACATTTAGGCAAAGGGGGGGGTATGAACACACCTGCATTGTGAGGACAATGTGCCAAAATGATTCACTGTAATTGTGTTAAAAGTTTTCACTTTCCCGCCAATTCATGCAATGACTAACCGAGATTAGTAAATGAGTGACCTGACATACTTGACCATTGTGCAGTGTGTTGGTATAGCAAACCAAGACATCAGGGGCTTTAATGACAATGTCATTTTTTTGTGATTTACATAAACATGTTAAAAAGGTGGCCAGTACTATCAGATTCTACCTGGCTTACTTTATATGTAAATCTGTGGCCGACTTCTTTATGTATGCTGTGATCTTCTCCCGTATTTCATTTTACAAGCATGCATGACAACTCTGACACCAATTGACTAACCAATTAAAAACACTCGACCGAAAGGCCAATAGCCATCACTGTTTGCCGAGTCTACAAAAGTTTAATTTGGTAGTTTTTAAATATTTTGCAAATGCTTGCGCTATCTTTAGGTTTTACATGTGCTTGCGCCTCCCCCACTGAGTCAGTTCGTATTGGCGACAGACAGTTAGCAGCCATGTTGCTGCCGTCACGCTACCAGAGCATTTTGAATATATCCGCCTGGAGGTAGTGACCATTTCACAGTTTTTGGAATCTAATGTCTCACATCCGCAAATCGCAAGGCCCTGGAAGAAATTGCCAAAATAATATTATCCCATGTTACTTCTGAGCTAGTTATTTTGGGGTAATTTGAATTTAGATTGGCTCTCAAAAAACTGCCAAACAACAAGAACTGTGCTGAGTGCTTGATTTACATCAATTGATTTCTAGTCCTACACGATCAAACAAATCCAAGCACTTTAAATCAACCATAATGAATCTTATACTAACAACAATATCCACTTAAGTGCGCCGCTAGTGCAGTCGCTGATTATGACGTCATGTACCGTTGCCCAATTTCCTGTGTCATCAATAATAAAAAGCACCAATCATTTAAAACATTTTATTGAGAAAATATTTAAAAAATGATTTCTATCTTGAAAACATTTCCAACTCTGGCTTCGCTTTTAGTCATTTTTACACCACTTTTTCTAATGTTCTCAATAAATATGCTCCACAAACATTTCCAAAGCTCTTATTGTCAGGGATGCAGCTTGGAAGGCAAAACCAACCATCTGACTGCATATTTTCGTCATCAACGGAATAACTGTCTCAGATTTATTAGAAAAGCCATATCTAACTTCTACTTGTCCTCACTTGCAAACGCCACTGGGCAATGCATCAGTGTTGGACAATCATCAAGTCCTCCCAAACTCCCCCGCCTCCCCCTAAAATCTGTTTATAAAATCAAATCATAACAACCATATCCAATATGTATGAAGCGTTGAATCACCAAGTCATTTCTTCCAGTTCACTACAACTGACATACAGTAAGTGCTCGCTCTCCAATCTGTGGATTCTTCACCGAATATCTTCCATTCTGGCACTAAGTTTAGTTTTAGGTCATTAAGCCAAAGTGAGACAGAAAACTAGTCAGTTTCAACCCGAACACATCTCAGATCCTTTAGATCAGGGGTTCTTAACCTTTTTCACCTCGGGGCCCAACTTTTCAAGTACAAAGTGTCCCGGGGCCCATTCAAATATTAACACTATTAGTTTAACTAATTGATCTCACTCTTGGTTTGATTTGTATTCAATAACTATATTGTTACCTGTTCAACTCCACCCCTATTTTGGAGCAAAACCGCCTAAAATGACATACCCAAATTAAAATGGCTGTAGCTTCTGAACCACTGTGACTATATGCATCAAAAGTGTCAGAAAACCTGTAGGTCATATAGAAACAGAGCAGTGGGCCTTTGGAGTCAGTAAAAATTGAAGATTTTTGTCCGCATAAAATAAAAAAGTATCTTTCAGTATAAATAACTGCCTGTGGCTGTATCTGTACAGGTAAATGACAGTATAGAGCTGTAACTACACTATCAGTGAACAACTGCCTCAAATTTGAAGAACATTGGACAAAGTATGACGATTCTTCCATGAAGAGATCCAGGTGGAGCTCTAAAAGGATATTTGGAGACCCAAATGGACACATGGTAACCAAATGATATTCTGACACACTAAAGGTGTTTCTCCCTTTATATTTTGATATTATATTATTTTCCTTTCATTTTTAGCCTTTGCAAATTGCAAAAACTACATATATATGATCGAAGACATGGTATGTAAGTAGTGGACTTACTGTGCATAATGGCTGCAACTGAGGGCACGATCGAGTATGAGAGTAACTCAGTTGCGCAAGGTTATACGTTGGTTGACAGCTTATTAAAGAGGATGATAAGGTTTGTACTTTAAGTACTAGCGTTTTCTGAAGCTACTAGCTCCATGGTAACATCCGCTAGCACATTGTTGGGTCTGTAATGTGTCTTTTTCCGTCGAAATGCTGCAAGATCCGACTTGCAGCGCTTATGGCGACTTTGGACAGTGTGTGTTTGGGCTCCTTTTGTGAAAAATCCATAAGAAATGAAAGGTAATCGATGATTTATTTGCAAAGATGAGGGTTTTGGGCATGCTGGGATGCCAAACACGGCCATGTTTTGTGACGTGGTTCGCGCAAGCAAGCCGTAGGAACGGAACGGAAGGGGAGGGGATCGAGGACGCCGGCGTCCTTGCGGAGTTGAACAGGCAAAACCCTTGTCAAATAAATGAGATGATACAATGTGATGATCACAAAGACATTTATTTATCATGTGTATGTAAACCTGCATACACAACAAGAAGCCCAACAGGCTTTCCCATGAGCGTTGGATGTTTCGTCGTTAGGTGTCGCTTTATTTTTGAAGGCTTCAGTGCTTCGTTTGATAGCATTAGCCCACATTCCACACACTGAAAGTGTTAAGAAAGTCAGGATTGTACTTGCGCACACATTTAGACTTTTGGGGGGGTATGGCACCACTGTCGTCTTCATTTGTTCTACCACTACAGTGTAGTGGTTAAATCGTGTAATGTTTATGATTCATTAAATGATGTAACACTGCTGCCCTCTAGTGGTTAAATCGTGTAATGTTTATGATTCATTAAATGATGTAACACTGCTGCCCTCTAGTGGTTAAATCATGTAATGTTTATTACTCATTAAATGATTTAACACTGCTGCCCTCTAGTGGTTAAATCGTGTAATGTTTACATCACATGATAAATAAATGTCTTTGTGATCATCACATTGTATCATCTCATTTATTTGACAAGGGTTTTGCCTGTTCAACTCCGCGAGGACGCCGGCGTCCTCGATCCCCTCCCCTTCCGTTCCGTTCCTACGGCTTGCTTGCACAAACTACGTCACAAAACATGGCCGTGTTTGGTATCCCAGCATGCCCAAAACCCTCATCTTTGCAAAGAAATCATCGATTTTATTATGGATTTTTCACAAAAGGAGCCCAAACACACACTGTCCAAAGTCGCCATAACCGCTGCAAGTCGGATCTTGCAGCATTTCGACGGAAAAAGACACATTACAGACCCAACAATGTGCTAGCAGATGTTACCATGGAGCTAGTAGCTTCAGAAAACGCTAGTACTTAAAGTACAAACCTTACAAACATACCCAGCATGCAGTTCGGCGGTGAAACTTTATAAATGGACAATTATTAGTGTTACAAATTGTTTATGTGTCACAGACTGTTGTGTGCTGTTGTGTTTTTCTCTGTTAAAGAGCATTAGTTGTGGGTTGTTAATTGTTGTGTTATAAAGTTATGACCATGACTAGGGTTCCCTCTCAATACATATAAGACAACTAGCGCTGACCACTGTGCATTAGCAGCAAAGAATACATTTAGCTACCTGTTGAAAGCAGACAGCAGTTGTTTTGGCTATGCACCGGTATAATGGTGTGTGGGAAATTAAAACCGGTATACTGCCCAGCTCTAGTCTTTATTATAGTTTGGACAATTTTCTACCAATATTTGACGGGCCGGAATAAAAAGCCCAACAGCCGTAGTTTGCCCATACCTGGGCTGGTGGCTAGCTGAGTGTCTTCTTCTGCTTATTGTAGCTTGTTAAACAACTGACTAACGCATTACCGCCACCAGGTGGTAGGAAGCTATATTGTAACTGAGCGTCTCATGGAGAACAGTAATATCTCTGGTGTCTTCAATTGATAACCTATGCGGTCCCGCGGACCTCGCGGCCCACAGGTGCAAAACTGAAAGTTTTTTGTGGCCCCATGGTTAAGAATCACTGCTTTAGATCCCTCCCTTCTTCGCCTCAGTGCTGTTTATGTTGTAGCACTTCTAGGTCACATGTTTAACTTATCATTTGCATCAGATAAAATGCTGATATGGAATATGGAAGTCCGCACTGGTTATCCCAGGACTTAAAGGCGGTGATGCTAGTGACTTAAATATCTACAGACCATTGTCAAAATTGACTTGCTTGAAAAAAAAAAAAGACTGGAGTGCCAAATAATTTCTTAACTGAGACCGTTTCTAGCGTCAAGAGAAAATATTATAGCCAGAGCAGTCAGGATTTAGATGAAGTCATAAACAACAATAGCTCCATTATTTGTATTTAATGTTATCGAAGCCTTAGACAATCAACAGAGTTTCATAGACCTACTTAAAACATTTGAATCATGCTATTTTATTGGAAGAACTATCATTCTCCCCTCTGTTGCCTCTATGTCTGCCAATGGCATGTTTCCATAGACTGGATCCATGACCCCACCTCTCCCTCGCTGACTTCTACACAAGAGGCTGTCACTTCTCTCGGTGCAGTGTAGTGTACTGAAAGGCCGCAACACACGATCCAACATGATATCTTCAGTCACACTCAACAATGGAGCCAAGATGCCTATTGTGGGTATCGGAACATGGAGGGTAAGGCTGAACATTCTATTGTTACGATAAATAAAGTTTAGAGACAGATGGATGTTTGGACTTGATACTTTGTCTCTACTCCTTCTTTCCTCTGTGCCCGGCTACCTTTCAGGGATTCAGATTTAGATTGTCTCTAGTTTTCATGTTACGAATTCACCGTCTTCTTGGATCTACTGCAAACGAGGTAAAAAACAACAGGGAGTCCGGGGCATGAGATAAGCACTGCAATTGCAGCATAAACCGATAAGCCCCAGGCAGAGAAACTGTTTGCAGAGGGTTTGTCAGAGCGTACATATTAGCATTGGACTGCACAAACCTCTGCCTGATTACATTTGGTAGTACTAGTGTTTCCAGCAATGACAACCTGCTCTTTACATTATTTTCTTGTCATTAAAGCCAAACACATTTTACTCATTATATTGATGCTTATCTGCAATTTCCTTGTCTCTGTATCACCCTTGCTCTGTAGGCAGACCAGGGAAAGGCCACTGAGGTTGTTAAGGTGGCGATAAGAGCTGGTTACAGGCACATCGATGGTGCTCACGTGTACCAGAATGAAAAAGATGTCGGGGTTGGAATTCGTGCCGTGATTGATGAAGGATTGGTTAAGCGGGAGGATCTATTCATTGTCAGCAAGGTACGACATTACAGCCAAAGTCGAACGTAAATGCTGCAAATGTGTAAAGTCTAATTTGTGCAAAGACATTTACACATGTAAAAAACTGCTGTTATGTCATTTGTCATTCACATTTTGTTCACTAACCTCCAATGCGTGCCACACAAATGCTGACATGTTCAGTGTATTTATTGCTTTTCATAGTTGTGGTGCACCTGCCACCTTCCATCTCTGGTGAGAGGAGCCTGTGAGAAGACGCTCAGTGACCTGAAACTGGACTACCTGGACCTTTACCTCATGCATTTCCCAATGGGGGCCAAGGTTTGGATACCACTGTACTGTACTGTTGGTACAACCACAGCATCAAGGGTTCTGGTCAAGTCCAAACGTTAGCTTATTCCTTCTGTCTTAGCAAACCTACATCAGAGAATTAGGCAACAGCCTTTGATGGTTCCCAGCTTAACAGGGTGTCTGAGTGAGCTAATAAGTATTATTATAGAAAATAAGAACGAAAAACATTTCATCCAGCTTCATGTTGTGACTTTACCATTTCACTTTTTGCTACTGCAGCCAGGGGATGAGTTTTTCCCATTGGATGAACTTGACAAGCTCATTTCTGATGGCAGCAACTTCTTGGACACTTGGGAGGTAATTTAAGTCACTTATTATGTAGAGCAAAGACTGACGCAGTGATAGTCAAGCTAACTAGCTTAAATCAAATGATTGACACAATGACACACAAATAGGATTCAAGATACCTCACTAACACCCGTGTGCAATGTGTCTCAAAGGCAATGGAAGAGCTGGTGGATGCTGGATTGGTCAAGGCTATCGGCATCTCCAACTTCAACAAAGACCAGATTGAAGCCATACTCAACAAGCCAGGCCTCAAGTACAAGCCTGCCACCAACCAGGTAGCTACAAGCAGGACAGTCATCCCGCAACATAATCCAGAAGGAAGATAATTAAGTCTAAGGCCTTCGGGTGTTCCTCCAGATCGAGTGCCACCCATTCATGACCCAGGAGAAGTTGATCAACTACTGCCGCTCAAAGGGCATCTCAGTGACCGCTTACAGCCCCCTGGGCTCCCCTGACAGACCCTGGTGAGAGGCAGTGCACCACCTATCAAAAACAGCGCTCACAGGAAAAGTGTCAAGTGTCACTTATTATTTTCTGTTCTGATTTACAAAAGGGCTTCTTCTGATGATCCCTCTCTGCTGGAGGAACCGAGGATCAAGGCAATAGCCGACAAGTACAACAAGACTCCAGCACAGGTAATTAAACAGCAGAGTGTTGTGCAAAGATGTTCAGTAAGATGCCTGAATAATGCTTATAATGCCGATTTCCCACCAGGTTCTCCTCCGGTTCCACATCCAGAGGAACGTGATCGTCGTAGCCAAGTCAGTGACGCCCCATCGCATCAAGGAAAATTTTCAGGTTTACTCATCTTAATAATTTCAACAGCTGACAACACACTTTAAAGAGACGTATCATGCGTAGGCTTATATCTATTTTGTTGCGTCTCTTTTAGTTGTTTGACTTTGAGTTGAGTGAAAACGACATGAAGACCATGATGAGCTTCACCGAGAAGAGAGCATTCTCACTAGATTGGTGAGTATAGGCAGATCAGCTTATGCCCGATATCTCTTTATCGCTGTTTATCTCTTTCACAGAATTATTTTAGGCTATGGACCAGGTTACTGGACCTATTACCATTAAGTAAAGCATGTTCCTCTTCTTTTCTGTGCAGGGCCTCAACACACAAAGACTTCCCTCTGAATGCAGAATATTAGCTCATCAGACAACATGCTGCACCGTTTCTACAACTATCAACTACTGAGCCTTTTTTTATACAAAATCTACAAGCTGCGATATTAAACTACAACCCAACTAATGTGACAGAGCCTGAATTATTATCTTAATAAGTTTCTACGGAGTCAATGCTCACTATTGAAATAAATAATTCAATGAAATGTCTTGAAAGAAAGTAGATTGTGTGGAATAAAATGATCTTTCGTGCATACTGTTGAGGTGCACAGACATCACTATAAATGCTATGTAGTCACTGAAGCAGGCTGCTCGTAACAAAGTGAGAATAAAAAGGGTTCGACATCCAGCACAGAATGCAATCTACCGGCTATGAACAATATAATTATGCAAGGAACAATTTAATGCGTTTCCACTACAGTAAAACTAAATAGGCATTGTAGAAATTTTTGGGAATATGGCCCAACATGATGCACCAATCAGACAATAAAATAGAAACCAGAAAGGTTTGGGGTCAGTGGGGTTAGCAAACTCAAAATCCAGTATTAACGCAGTGCTCGTAATACTGATTTAGGTATTCTCTAGTCCCTTTTCTGTGCCCTCCCAGAACGAAACCCACTAGCTTGGTCCTCAGACCTTAGTCTTTGTCGGCAGCATCGATCTCCTCTCTTCCAGGAGGGTCATACATGTTCATTGCCGATTACACTTTCTCCTTGACACGCGGTAATCTCACCTCTAATCACTATAGTATACAACTCACAGGGTCAGTTGAGGACACCTTCGGCATATGAAACCAAAGATATAACTTCTGTCACGTTACTCATCATATCTGGCATACGCTCACTTTTAAACACTGTATGATAATCAAAGCTACATTATTTTTGCCCCTGCGCTCTGAAACCCATTATTTCCGATGGCTTGCGTGCCACCCCCTGGGTAAGTGTGTCCTGTGTGAAAGGCCCGTAAGGGTTTTCTGACCCCCGCGGTCACTAAGAGGC